TGGGTATTTTAAAACAATTTTTTTAAATATAAGATTATACAAATTATAAATTCCTTATCAAAAATAAAAAGTCTAAAAGTTTAAATAAAAAAATTAACAATAAAGGTGATTTTAGGTCGAAAATTTGTATTTTTCATTGAAGGTTTTGATGCTTTACAAAGTAAATTTTAGCAATTACATATATAACAAAAAATGTAAGGATTTTTGCTTTTAAATAAAAATTTAGCTGTAAAGGTAAAAAAAAGTATAAGCAAAAATAAAATTTTTGCTTGAAATTGATTTACATGGTTTTAATTTATTAATATAAAAATTTAGTTCTCCTTCTTCTTCCTTTTTTCACAAAAACTTTTGTCTGCCTTCATGAACTTCTGCTTTGGATATTTTTATATTTTTAACATTCTTTTAAGTTAACACATTTTTTGCTTCAGGAAAGATTTACCAGGAAAGTTTTCTTTAAAACAATTAATTATTACTCCTAGTTTAAATATGACTGCACTTTTTTGTATCTTGTTTTGCAAAAGATTATCCATTATTATCAGCTGTAATCATTACACTTGTTTATTGATTTCACTCAAGGCAGAAGGCCTCCCAAATATATCAAAATACTACTTCCCTCTATATATATTTGCTTTATAAATTGGTTTTATAAACGATTGTTTATCAATTCTGCCAGGGTGATATTCAATATTTTCTGGGTCATAATTTATTTGATACAAAGTTCCAGGAACATGTTTATGTCAACACTAACCATGAATAACTAACCTAAATAACAAAATAAACACTTTTCGTGATAGACCGGTAAATTTGAAGTTGTTCCATATGTCACCAAAATACAAATTTTATTTTATTGAAACTATTGACAAAGAAGATGTTACCTACCTTTGATACAAATATTATTATTCTATAATAGATTTTTTGTATAATAGATTGTTTTTAATAAATACAAATTTCCAACGTTGTCTGAATGTAGTTAAACGTTAATTTCTACCAGGTCTATTTATTAATTTTTTTATAAGAAGCATTAAAATTTAAAAAAAAATGTTTAAAAAAGTTTAACTTCATTTTATTATTTATATGTTTGATATTGTCATCAATAAAATACTAAATAATTTTTATCTATTTTATAACTATTTTATTTGTTATTTTATTTTAGTCCTTTGTAAATAATCACAACCATGTCACTACAATAAACCGCACTTTAACCTATGTAAAATTATATTAAGTAAATGTAAATGTTAATTACACACAATTATAATAATACTTAATAAAAAAACAGTGTCAGTGAGTTAATTGCGCCACCAGTAATGGTGGTTTCTGGCAACATGTTAAGTCGGTATTTTCAATTTATTTGTGATGTTTTGCCCACTGAGAATTACTATTTTCCAAGTAGGTATTGTATTAAAATATTGTTAATTAATTAAAAATAATTGAATCTGTGAGATTAAGAACAGTAAAAGTCCAAAACTTATTTTCACATATCTTTTTCTAAAATCAATTTAAATGTTTAAAATGCAATTTTGAGAGAAAATATAAATTATTTTATAAAATATGATTATTATATTTTATAAAGTACATAGTTCAAAATTTAATATTCTCACAAACATTTATTTTGAACTATAATACTGACTTAATAATTTGTCAAAATTTTAACTTGTGGACTTGTTCTTAATCTCACCGATTCAATTATTTAATAAAAACGATTTTTGAAAACCTTTTTAACGTGTTAAAACACTTTATGCTTTTTAAAATTTTGTATTGGGAAAGCAAAACAACGAAAAATTGTTTCGGATGTCACCTTGGTTGTAACTTATGCACTTTTAAATTTTAAGTCTTATGCCTACTTGTGTAAGTAATATTACTGTAGTAGTATTGTATTTTTACTATACTTTTTAATAGTAAACATTTAGTAAATTTACCACTATTTTTAATAGTGGATCGTCCTAGTAAAAGTCAAGGGACTCAAGCCACAAAACCATAAATCCGAGAAAATCTTTGCGCGCATTTTTCTCGAATTTATGATTTTGTGGCTTAACTACCTTAACTCTTACTAGGACAATATATTATATAGTATAACATAATATATTATATAGTATAAGATAATTTGATATACATTATTAGTATTATACACGGTTCTCGCTCAACTTTTTTATATTTTGATAGTGTTTGAGCGCTGCATAACATTATTAATGATTGTATGCAGTTTTGAGATAAGCATATCTTTTACTTAAAAGGTTTTAAAAAAATAAATCAACTAATTTAACCGTATCAAACTAATTGTATTTAAAATGCAATAAGTTATCAGGCTAAGCAAATTTATTATTTATTTTAAGACTAAAATTTTGCGTTAGCTGATTTTTATTCCTTATTAAATGACGTAATTTTTAATACTATCTCTGGAGAAAGTAAGAAGTGACTTTGTGGTTAATGTCCGAAGAGTTTCCAATCAGGGTTGCTAGATATTTTTAACAGTATGAGCCAACCCTATTAATAAAAATTGCCCAAAAGTAGCACTAAGGTCCGACCGAACCTGATTTTTTAGTCTCGGTCATAGAGAAACAATGGACTCAGCCAAGACCGAGAAGAAAATAAATTCTCGGCCGAGACCAAGTAATGACAAAGTATACAAAAATCAGGAAGATATACAATAGTGCACAATTCGTTTAATTTAAAATTTTCATTGACAAGTTGTTAATGACAATTATTATAGGTACAGACAGGCGATGCGAGGTCCATCCCAAAAAGGTAATGGTTACTCAGTGTTCGTTTTCGTGCTTTGCGCTTTGAATTCCCTAGTTCTCCCTTGTGTTGGCCATGGCCGAGAATCTTGGCCTTTTTTCGCCGAGTACGAGAACGTTTGGAACTTAATTGGCACCCTAGATCATGAACAAGGATAAGGAGTCTGAACCCCATGTATATAAATGATTTCACAAAATAAGATGACGCTGGTGTTCTGTTTGCACCGAAACAGAGAAGGAGTAAAAGCAGACGTCAGTAAAAAATGGAAATCAGCGCAGCTAGTCGTAAAAAAAGAACACATAATTTGTGCGATTTAGTTGGCAGGATCTGTTAATTCCCTCTATTGAGTTCATACTCATTGTGTATTATGCTTCATGCCCTAGATAAATAACTTTAATTACGTTCGAAAACAAAAACGTATTGTCAAATAAACTAAAATATTGCTAAACAACTTCATTCTTCTTCTTTTGTAGCCACTAAGCGTGCGTTAAGTTAATACGAATATAAAATTTCGCGCATGATAAATTATTGGTAAAGGTCTTTTTATATTATTTAAACCAATTGTAGACCATGCATAGCCCATTTGCTAAAAATGTAGCCCAAAGTAGTAACCTGCAGCTGTCTGGAACTAAAATCTGTAGTGTGTCCCCTCAAAAGCCAATTGGAAGTCAAAAGTTGAAAAAGTTTTTTCCCATTGTTTTTGTAGTTTAAGTAAAAAATTAAAAAATTAAATGTACTTTCTTTTGTACGAGGGTTGCCTTTTATATTTCGGGAATAGAGAAAACAAACATCAATTAATCATCGTACATGGCTTTATTGTTTTTCAAAATATTTTCCATGAAGATCGACACACTTATGCATGCGCTTGAACCAATTTTCAAAGCATTTTTTCCACTCCGATTGAGGCGCCTCCAAAACATGGATTTTCTCATCTTTAAAGACCCACACAGTCGACTGCTGTTTACTTTCAGGTTGATACGCATAGATCCATGATTCGTCACCTGTTACGATGTCATGAACATGTTTTGAAGCACCGCCATCGTATTTTTTAAGCATTTCTTTTGACCACTTGACACGACCCGTTTTTTGATCGATTGTCAAATTATGTGGAATCCAATGGGAACAAATTTTTCTGACGGCCAAATGTTCATTTAATATTGAATGTATGCTGGTCCCACTAATGCCCAAGAATGACTCATTATCACGATATGTCACATGACGATCTTGCAGTACCAGTTTACGCACAGCATCAATGCTTTTTGCGACAACGACTGATTTTGGACCACCTTCACGAAATTCGTCGGTGAGCGAACCACGCCACGATTTTATTCGGAATATCACCGATATACACTTGTTTTTGATGGCGCTTTATCGCCAAAAGTCAAATTAAGTTCATCGATGCATTGTTGTTGGGATAATGCACCTTTAAAGTTATAAAAAATTATCGCACGAAAATGTTCAAGTTAATTTTTTAAGTGACTGTTAATGACACTAATTGCGCCCGCACGTCAAAGTAAGAACACTGTCTAAAAGGTCGAATTTTACGATAGAGACATCTGTTGTCCGATAACAGCAGCAGGATCGGCCATTCCAGAAATATAAAAGGCAACCCTCGTATTAGAATGAAAGTTGAGTGAAAAAAATCACATTCTACAATTTTTACATGTTTTACACGATTTTGGACCAAAAACAGAATTTCCCGTTGGAACTAAACCATTTCATTAAATATTTATTAAAAAAATGGGCCACTTCAAGATGTTAAGTAAAAAAAAATATTTTTTTTTTTAATTTTCTTTTTTTATAAGGTACTACTAATTCTACCCCAAGCTAAGAAAAAAAACAAACATTTTGTTTTCAACCCACCCTACTGTGTATGCTTATAAATCTAGGTATCTGGTTAAAAGGTGGAAGCACTGGAAAGTCAGGTTTGACTCCAGAGATATCATCAAAAATAAAGTAAACAAATAAGGAATAAAAAATCAGAAAAGGAAACAATATGAAAATATATAAAATAAAATTGGCTTAGCCTGATAACTAATTGCATTGTAATTACAATTAGTTTGATACGGTTAAATTGATTTGTTTATTTTTATAAGAAATTTTATTACACCCGGAGTAATTCGCACTTGAACCGGTTAAACTGAAGTTACCTGTTATTCTTACTTTAACAGTAACATTTACATTTTTTGTTAAAAATGTCATAGCCCAACTCAATAATGAATATATTGTATGGTAAATTAATATAAACTTTTTTAATTTTGCAGAGATTCAGAAGATTCTCAACAACCCCCGTCTGTTAGAGAAGTACGAGGACTTCATGGTGCGCCGGGTGCTGCTGATAGACCCCGACACGAGGTGGTGTCCGGCGCCGGACTGCGGTTTTGCTGTGATAGCGAGCGAGTGCGCTAGCTGCCCGAAGCTGAAGTGCGAACGACCGGGTTGCGACTCGTACTTCTGTTACCACTGCAAGGCCGAATGGCACCCCAACCAGACCTGTGATGCCGCCAGGGCGCAGCGTTCGCCCAACATACGTTCGTCCTCGATCACATACAGTCAGGACTCGCAACATAGTAAGTTAGTCCTTCAATGTAAAAATATGTTTTCAACATGTAGTAAAATATTATAATATGTAGTATAGGCATTAGCCTATAGTAGCAGAACACTTTTTGAAGATAATATCCAAAAGATTTTTAGATTGGGTACCTAGTAAATATATTATTGCTTATTTATGATTCAAGGAAATGGTTTATGAACAACGCCATAAAATTACACTGTTCAGCAGCCATTTTGCCACCAACCACTTTTTTAGGGTAATTTGGGTGCGCTGATTCCAAAAATAACCAATTTTGCTTAATTAGCCTTTGATATTGTAAAAAACCATTTTTTTCGACATGCAAACATTCAAAATTGTATATATTTTTTTTAATCAAATACTTTAACCAAAGTTCATTGGTCCGAATTTAACTAAAAAAAAATATACACCTTCATAAAGTAAGTCCCTTAAAAAGGGATTAAAAGTTGTTGGCACTCAGTGTTATTATTAATTAGGTACTATCAAAAAAAGTAGTTAAAAATCTTAATTTGGTAATTATCAAATGCAAAAAGAAGAAATTTTAATAATTTCTTTCGCCAGTGACACATGTTAAATTACGATAAATAGAAAAAACTTAATTAATTACAATCTGAAACTTTATTTTCCTGATATCGCTGATTTCAAAAATGTCGTTTTTCTCTAGGACGTCTAGGATTTAAAATAATTTCGTTATAAAATGCTCTGCTCAATCCCCTTAAAATGTAAGTTTTTTTGTTAGTATTTTAATTATTTATTACATTATTTTGGCTTAAATTTATCTTGAATGTACTGAAGTAGGTAATTGGTATACGGCAAATAGATCACATGTATCTTAACAATATGACATTTTAAATACTAAAACTAACATTTTAATGTATTTTATGTAAAAAAAACACCCATTATTTGACATTATATGTCGTTTATTTTAATTATTGAATCCATGTTCATCAGTTCAGCAAATTTATCAGGATATAAAAAAAAGAAAATGTATTTTAAATGACATATTAACGCTAATTCTTTACAAAACGGAGAGCATTTTTTCAATGAATTGGCGCCAATTTTAGGCCCGATTTGAACCAAGAACATAACAGCTTTAACACTGCCATATGCGACAAGCTCGTCAACATTGAGAGCATTTTTGAATGCTTGATCTTTTATCTTTTATTAAACGTCGTATATCAGGTCCATTTAATATTCCTGCTCTTTTTTAATTTTTGATTCTTAAAATCACTTTCAAGTAAAATACAATTTAAAGTTTAAATGTCAAAAATTAATAGATGAACTTGAACGCTAAAGTAGATAAAGGCGCCTTATACTTTAATTCCATATTAAATTTTGATAAGACTTAATAAATAAGATTGGAGATTAAATTTTTGGGTACATTTACTTTGTTGCCTTTTCAATTTAATTGGTAATTAAAAAAACGACACCAAAATTTCAAAAAATGATACTTTTTACCAAAAAACATTATAATTTTAGTTTTGTTATTTAATAAAGCACTTCTCTGCAGAAAAGTGCTTTATAATTATTATACGGCTACAATGGAACAAGAAAAATTTCTATTTAACATTTATCTACCGATGACTTTGTATGTTTTGTATATTTTTGACAAAAAACATCAAAAATATACTGAACATCCAAAATAGATTTAAGGCAAAATAATTTAATAAATAATCAAAATATTAACGAAAAACTTACATTTTGAGATAATTTGGCAGGACATTTTATTACGCAATCCTAGACGTCCTGGAGCAAAACGAGTGGTAGGTATTTTTGAAATCATTAGCCCAAAATTAGGTAACACTCAATGTTAGTTATTCGGACGGGTTAACCAAAATTTGGCGTATAAAAAGATGAAACGAAAAAGACGCGCGCACATGCCTGAGTCGTATTAGAATATTTCAACTTCTTCTTCTTCCTTGGTGACCAAAAGCCTTAATGATCTCGGTTTCAATGTACCATTTTGACCAGCAACAAGTTTTATCGTCCATGCGTTGCACGAAGCCATCCACTCATAGACACGTGAAAATTACAATCTTGGAACATCCACTAACTCTTGTACAAATCACAAAATACCTCGTTAAATGGTCAAAGCTGTCTAAAAATACAGGTATATTTCAATACCCGGAATCCAATTTTGTCCCTACTAGGTCGAAAAGTCATCTATATTTCATATAAAACCGAAACTCGATTATTTAAACAAAATTCGCACACTAGCATAAATTGGTATGGTATGGTAGTCCAAATTCGCACAGTAGTTTAAAATTACAAAAATTTAAAAAAATAATTCCTAAAAAGTTTCTACCTTTTCTAAATTTTCAAGATTTCCAAAATTTATATATTTCTCGGACCTACTTTTAAATCAAATGTCACAATTTCTGATGTAACTGATGAAAATGATGTTAATAAATCAAATAAATAAAATTATTAGCACCAAAAATTTTAAATTCTCCAAGGAAACTTAAACAATATGACATACATAATGATATTGATTAAACAAAACACGAATTAAATTAAATTGTCCAAAAGAAGTTTCACTTCAGCATGTATTTTTTACATTCCAATTTTAGCTGTTAATTAAAACTTATAAAAGAAAATGTCACACTAGATAAATTAATTTTAGGATTTTAGTATAAGCCCAAACTTTAACGATTTAATTGGAAATGTCGAATCCAGAAAGTTATTTTAAAAAAAGTAATTAGGTTTCATAAAGTAAACTTTACAAAAGTAGTAAAAGTTAATTTACAAAGTTTCAAAAGTACTACTAATTACTTACACAAAATTTTATTCGTGAATTAATTATATTCAAATACATGTTTTAAGAATGCATGTAAATCTACTTTACCAACTAGTAGTTGGCAACTCATTGCTTTTTCAAAAGATTAATCACACTTTTATTATTAATATAATATATATATATATATAATTATTATTATTACATTTAGGGTTGTCGCTGCCACTTCTTGGTTTAAAGGTCACCATCATAAAAACGCGGGTTTTAGATTTTTTTAATTGTTAATGTTGTCAAATGTTTAAAAATACACTTTAACTTGTAGCTACGCCTTTACTATGTCAGTATTTAGTCCAAGCATGGAAAAAATAATTTTTACTGGAGCATTTAAAGCTAAAACCAGTTGTAAAATATGAATCATATTCAAATATTCATATGCAAATTTTCGTTCATGTATCAGGGCTAACGTTTTCGCTCATATAAATACAACAAATACAAAATACGGAAGTTTTGTTTACCCCGTATTTTATTTTGCTAATTACGGGTTTTTATATTCCCATATCCTAAAAAACGGGGTAACCCGTAAAATACGGGCCACCCTAATTACATTATACAAAAATAATAATTTATGTTAAATTAAACTCCCATTATCTGGAATTTAATTTTTATTTTTGTTATAGGGGATGATATAAAACCATGCCCAAGATGTCAAGTCCTAATTGTAAAAATGGACGATGGTTCGTGCAATCACATGATGTGTGCTGTGTGTGGAGCGGAATTTTGTTGGCTGTGTATGAAAGAAATTAACGATCTACATTTTTTAAGGTAATTTTGTTTTTAATGTTTGTTTCAGATAATATGGCGGTAAAAAATCTTTGAGTAATAAGACACAGAAAAGTTTGAAGGTAAAATGTAAAGTATCATATTTTATGTGCCATATAACTATATGTCTTGTTATAAGTTTTTATGTTTGCAGTATATTTATAAATAAAACTTGAAAAATATTAATATACTTGGAACAAAAGGAGAGCCATAAGCAGAATATAACGATTTTTACGATAAAAATGTCTTCATGATTAAAACTAATCCTCTTTTAATTTAAAGTCGTTTTTCTCTGGATTGTGTTTGTTTGCTATTAAAACCTTCTTGTTTAATATTTACATAATATTTCAAGCAATCATTTTATAATAATTTATTCTTTATTTTTTAGTCCGTCTGGCTGCACCTTTTGGGGCAAGAAACCATGGTCGAGGAAAAAGAAAATCCTTTGGCAGCTTGGTACATTGGTGGGGGCACCTGTCGGTATTGCTTTAGTAGCCGGTATAACTGTCCCAGCTATGATTATAGGTAAGAACATTGTTACAGTACATTATTGCAAGTCCGGTAATTTGAATTTTTTAAATGTGAACATTGTTAAAAAAATTGCATGCCCCAACCTCATTGGACATTTTAACCAATGAGAACTTGAAGAGACGTCCCAAACTAAAACTAACGTTGCTTTCTTAATGTTCATTTTGAAATGTCAAACAGTAACCCAGCAAACCAAATCATGTCACAGTGATATAACATTTACATAAAAATTGTTCCTTACTATGTAACAGTGATGTCATCTATATGTTATGGCAATGCTCCTATGTCCGCCGCAATACCCCTTCCTGGTTATGTAACAGTAATGTAACAGTGTTTTATCATAGTTATGTATTAGTAATTTCGTAACTGTAATGTAACAGCGCCATATAATAGTTATGTAAACGTGATAAAACAGTTATATTCCATTTACATAATTATTGCATTCTATTTACTTATTATTTATTCAATATTTACATATTATTTATACAATATTTACTTATTGTCTATGTATACTGAGGTAGGAAAAAATCTCGCAAATAATATAAAACCAAACAATTACCGTTTTAAAAGTGGAACCAACAACCTTAACTCTATGTATCTTAAAAATATAACAAAGAATTAACTCATTCTACAATTAAACAGTCTTAAACTAAATAGCGCCTGTGGGGTGTATGGAATATCTACAAAACTAATTAAACAACACTATAAAAATTTACTTGGTCCACTCAAATATCTGATAAATCTCAACTTCTCAACTAGCGCATATCCAGAAATATTTAAGGCAGCCATAGTAATTCCTGTTTTTAAAGCCGGGGATAAATCTAATAAAGAAAACTACAGACCCATCGCACTTACCACCACCTTAAGTAAAATTGTTGAAAAGCGTATTAGTCCAAGGTTAAAGGACTTTATCAATAAGGACGGCTGTTGTCCGAACGACAGTATGGATTTAGAATAGGTAAGGATACGAATTACTGTATCTGCAAGGTGCTTGAATAATGGACATAAGGTGGTAGCTGCATTTATTAATCTGGCGAAGGCCTTTGACACTGTGTAACACCGAAGTCTTCTTACTAAACTTTATAATATGGGATACACCTTTAAACTTATTGAAATCATATCTTACTAATAGAACACATATGGTAAAAATAAATGGGATATACAGCCATAGGAGAGAGGTAGAGTTTGGTGTGCCTCAGGGGACGGTCATTGGCTCGATATTATTCTTAATATACTTTATAACAGCTCTTAAGAACGGTACGTAAGCTACGCTGATGACCCTGTGGTATTGATCAATGGTACAAAATGGGAAGAGGTGCTTAAAAAGTAACAGTTAGCCCTTAGTAAACTTAGGCTCTGGCTTGACAACAACCTCAGGTCCTGCTAACGTTGAACTAATCAAAGACCCATTACCTAGCCTTCACCAAAAGCTCCGTAAATCCACCACCAAAAACTACTTTAAAAATTTATAGTCTGTGCTGTCTTAAAAGTTAATTAACAAACTGTCAATGCGAACGTATTATTTCTCATATGGACAACATGCTAAGGTGAGATGAGCACATTAAAAGCAACATAAGTAAAATTCAAAAAACGATTTATAAATAATAATAATAAATAAGCCTTATTGCAAAAAAGTAAATACAGATTTTACAATTTTTAAAAATGGCCATTGACCGAGGTCCTTTAGCCGGTGAGCAAATCTTGAACATATGTAAAAAATCAAAGAATAATCAAAGAATAATAATAATATGCAGACCAATCCTAGTAGTATCGTACTTAATAACGCTCGTAAACAAGCACTAAGCAATATTAAAACGGGGGAAAATTAAAATTCATTAATATGTTATCTCCTATTTGTTGAAGATGTTACCATATAGTCTTTTTTGGGTGCTTTAATTTTCTGTTGCCCTGTACTTCCAAACATAATTCGCTAAGAATAGCGAATAGTAGTTAGCGTCCTTGCTAATAAAGGTATCTGCACAACACTCCCAACGACCTTTTGTATGCTACTTATAATATCTTACCAATTATGGAAAGATTCACTCTCGAGAGTTGTTTGGATGTCTTATTTTGGAGTGATTCGGCTTCCCCCGTTTTAATATTGCTTAGTGCTTGTTTACGATACTTACTAGGATTGGTCTGCATATTAAGGTGTATATTTTTAATATATGCAGACTCCGGTTATCTAAAAATTTCATCAGTATTTTTAGGATGTTGTTTGGACAATTAAGCTGGTGTAGTTTGTATAATAACCCTTTATACCAGACGCCAGGAACAATTTCCAGGCACAATGTCGTGGTTTTTCTTCCCATCAACCGTGAAGTTTTTATATTATTAATAAGTATTGTCAAAAAATGGACGATTGACTTATTCTTCTGGAACCCAAACTGATAGCGAAAAATCGTGTGTTCTATTGTTTCTGTAATTCTGTTGCATAAAATGTTTTTTAAATTTTTGGCCAAGTTTGACAGGAGAGTTATAAATTTTACTCATTAAGAAATATATTGGACACAAAAATGTTACCCTGCTTAAAATACCCTATAGAGACCTATACAAAATTATCTATCGGGCTCTACCGGATTCAATATGTGCATTTGTCCATGTTTTTTTCCAGATACGGCCCGATAGTAAATGTATAGGAAATTACCTATAGGCACACCATAACTTTTACATTTTCCCTATTGAGACCGATAGCAAATAACTCAATGAAGGATATATAGGGATATCCCTAAAGAGCAACCATAAAACATTTTACAAAATTTTATTAAAACCTATGGGGTCCTATGGGGGAAAAACTCATTTCTACAATTATGTGTATTCTCCCCATTGAAACCAATAGCAAATAAATCAAGGGTGGGTATCCCTATAGAACAACCATAAATCCCAACTATGGGTCCTATACATACCGATACACCCTATAGAAACACCATACATTCCGATACAAATATCTATCGGTTTGAACAGGGTCTCTATGGGGTATTTTAAGCAGGGTAATAATGGTATATTACGCAATTGTACAGTCAATTCTAAATTATGATATTATAGCCTGGGGATCTGCATGTGGTTGAACCCCTCAGTATCTCAAACATATGTCATCAAAGTACTACTCGGTAAACCTTGAATGACATCAACTGTTGAAATATTTAAAGTAAGCAAAATTTTAAGAATCAAGGAATTATATATAATCTCAACATTAAAGTATATGCATAAGTCTATATGTAAAGCCAACATCTGTCATAACACCAGATCAATGGCTGTAAATATTTAGATACCCAGATTTCACTTTAGTTCATAAGTTGTTTCTAGTCCCCTATTAAAAGTACTATAATTTTTATATCACTGAACCTGCAATAAATCAATTTATATTAGCAAATTTTAAAATCTATGTAAAATTACATTTTATAAATTGTCCACACAAGCCCATATGCCTTAGAGACTGTTCTGAGGTTGACCCTTGTTATTTAAATACTTAAACAAATATTATTATATTATATTATTATTTATGAAATATTTATATATATATATATACATATTTTTATGTATACTAAATATTATTTAATATATAATCTCATTGGTATTAAAAATTGCTTAGCCCTAACTTGGTATTATGGCACTTTTAAAATTTTGTTGATTTTTTTTACAAATTTTACTACTCCCATAGTAATAAGTTGTTGCTAAAAAATATTCAGTGCAAGTTGGCACTACATTTATATAAATTTAGAATACATTGTATACATATGTAAATACAGTATAGTAACTGCAGTCGGTAATTAAATGCGTGAATTTTTTCGGTATTAAATTTTTGCATTTTTGGACTAATATGATTGGAGCCATATTATAATATATACCTATTATTCCAAAAATTTAAAATTTCATATAAATTTAGTGCCAAGTTGCATTTATTTTTAGTTACAACTTAATACTATGACAGTAGTAAAATATGAACTAATTTAAAAAAAAGTACTAAAAAAAAGTTGCCGTAATACTAAATTAATTAGTACTAAGAAATTTTCAATGGCAGTGAGATAATATATTACATAAATTATAAATAAATAATAAGTAAAAACATAAATAAATGTTTCTGAAAAGAATTAAAAAAAGAAAACAAAATGGTTTATTAAAAAATATTTTAAAAGAACATATCGTTGTTTTTCCTAGACATCCCAAATAAAGCAAAAAACAAATATTGTAAAATATGGAAAAATCACTTAAATTTTTATTTTACCCTAAAACAAAAATTTTTTCCGAGTTTTTTCAAACTTTTAACAAATAAAATCTCAAATTCATTAGTACTTCAAAGCAAAAAAATATATGGTGGATACAATTTTTTAAACTCTTATGTTAGCATCACATGCTAAGCATCTCTTTTGGAGACGCCTCCAATTTAAAAAAAAAACTGAAACTTTTTGTTTATGGCTTTGTTTTCAAAACAAAGAACAATTTTTCTTTATGTTGTTTTTTATAAATGATATTTGGTACAAATAATAATTTGTTTGATTTTATTAATTCAAACACAATTAACAAATATTAATTTGTTTGATTTTATAAATTCAAACCCAATGCACCCTGCAACCTTTAGAGATATTCACACATCAACAAAGAAGTCTAGGGATAATCGTGAAAATTTGCAATAAAACAATTATTTTTATCAAAAAAACATTTTAATCATTTGTTATAATAATAATTTGTTTTTTAATTATTTGTTAAAAAAATATTCAACAAAAAAGTTGTATACTAAATTCAAAGGTAGTAGCCTATATAAAAAGTGCAAACAAAAACGCCAGAAAACTTACACACTGCTGATTAAAATATTCAGTTGAGTTTGCGAAACCATTGCGAGAAGGCATTTAACGAACGAAGAAATGTTAAGAGCTATTGGGATGATTGAAGGGGGTGCAACCCAACAAGTAGTTGCCGCTCAGCTAGAAACATCACAAAGCGTGATAAACAGATTGTGTCAACGCTATCAAGAGACCAACAGTGTGAATGAAAGACAT